ATTTGATTAAAGCATTTGAATCTATTATTCCTTTTCAATTTTCTATCAAATAATAATGCATACTACAATAGCCAAGACATTTAACCCCTATTTGACACATTTTTTCAAAATACATTATTTCAAAACTCATTTTCAACCATACATTCTATAATGAAATAACATTTTTCATCACATCAATAACATTTCCTTACTTTTTAACCACATATTTTTCATTAAATCACTATTTAAAATACATTATTTCTTCAATAATATTCATCAAACAACCCCTTAAACCTTTTTACATTTTTCAATCCTTTCTGTAAAGTCGAATCTCCTATACAAAATGTGCCACAAAAACAGTGTACTAGTTAGTTGCATTATTTGTAGTAACAAATTCTTTATGAACAAGAAAGGATGACTGCAATAGTGAAGTCGCAACCAGAAAACAACGTAAAACAGGAGACAAATATCATGCTTCCTTGCACGTTCACACAATCAAGAAAATCCCATTATTTTCTTTTCACGAGATGGAATTTAATTTTTCTCGAGATCTCTGAATTCAAAATAATGTATATGTTACACTATCATTGAGGTGAACACATAAATGTTACAAAAATATATATATGAAAACTATAGAAATTGTTTGCTCTTAGTATTAAAGTGGATAGTATTCACTTTAAAGGGACTGTCAATCTATCTTACCGAACATTCACATTACAATTTCCATAACATATAATACATAAAAAATTTAACATGGATGAACGCAATACCCTTTTAAGATCACAAATTACCAACTCTACATGATAACTGGATTCCTCGACCATAAAAGATTGGTCAAATAGCGAATAATGGGCAATATTTAAACAAATTTTGAGACTAAAATGGTCACTTTTGACAGAATTTTCAACTACATACTACCTAAATTTGGGAGTTCATGTCACTAATGGTTAGGTTAAGCCACTCATTCTCAAAACTCATTGCCATCGTTATCTGCTTGCCCAGAATCCCGATTGCACCTTGGATCATCCTGACTGGAACTTTCACCGAGTTTCTCCTGCAAAATCATATTTATGGAAGAAAAATTTCTTGAGATTGCACGCTTCAGCATTATTATCTTCGAAGACGACAAAACAAAAAGCAAAAGAATTAAAATTATAGAGAAATTCCAATTAGTGTACTCGACATTTTTTATTTTAATCGAGTCACTCATTTGCCATGTTGATTGCCACATCTGCATGCCGTGCTATTATAGCTTAATAGCCACGTTGGAGTTGTCCATTAGTTTGCTAACCGGAATGGACAGAATGACTTGAGACCAAAAAAAAAAAAAAGAGCAGTACAGTGTCCGAGATGAGATTTCTCTATAAGTCAGGGAGTACAAACATGCTTCAATATTAGCATCAGGAGCTAACTTAAAAGATTATAAACTCAAATATTGGATAATACCTTCAGAGATGCATTCTCAGCACAAAGTTGTTCATACTGGCTCCTTATACGAGCCACTTCTGCTCTAAGAGATGTGTTTTCTTCATTTAAAGCTGCAGCGCGCTGGGCCAGCTCATCGCATTCTGCCTAAAATCCAATATAACAAGACATAAAAAAGAGCATTAAGGATTGCACGACAACTAGTGCGTGCATAGACTAAATTAACTGTGAAATAACTGTCTTACCTGCTTGCGCAGTCTGGATCGGCGAGCAGATTCCCGGTTTGATTGCTTTCTTCTCTGTCTTTTAAGGTCCCTTTCATCCTGAATTTAGAAGTAACATAAAGGCGTTCAAGTAGCTAGTCACTCGAGGAGATAAATGGGAAAAGAAATTATTTTTCCAAGGAAAAGAACTGATATCCAATCATGGACGTCAAGAACATGGACTGCAGGAGAGATTGCCCATTAAAAGCAAAATAACCAACCTACATGATCATAAGCATTGTTCTACAGTCCCCCTCGACTTCACTCAAAATAATGGTCCCCAATGAATAGTGTTGACAGTACATTTTCATAGGCACAAGTCTGTTTCAAGTTTAGAAGGCCAATTCAATTTACAAAGCATATTATACGCATGTAAAACCAAACAGGAAATAGTTGAGTAACATTTCATAAAACCATTAGGAGTTTTACTTTTTTCCTTTCTTATAATACTCTCTCTTTGCATTCCAGAATGGCAAGGAAACTGTAACTTTTTTGAATCTTACGTGTATAATGCTTCGAGAGTAAAAGGCTATGTAAATGGTTTAACTTTACCATTGACGGAAATCAGTGATACAATGGTTGTACAAAGCATATCATCAATCCAATAAGTTATATTAGAATAACCTTTTATTGTCTATTGTTTTTCACAATAACAACGAAATTCAAACCGCCAAATTGTGCAGTCGCTCTCAGGGTTTGGAATTTTGAGGAATTTCTAGACAAACCAAGGCCATGCTCAATTATCATTTGCATGTTCTTTTACATTTTATACCATCTAATAATTGTTCTTAAGTTGGATTCTTGGTCAACAGGTGCACACCCCCTTCTCCTAAACCCTACACCACAAAGAAGTGGATCTTAAAACCCAAAATAATAATAATAATAATAATAATAAGGGTGTGTTTGAACCACATTATTTTGGAAGAATGTATTGTGGAATAGTAGATTGATGGAGAATGTATGGTTGAAAAAGAAAGAAAAGTTATTGATGTGATGTAAAATATTATTTTATTGAAAAATGTGTGGTTGAAAATGAGTAGAAGAATGAGAATAAATATTTTAATGTGTACCAAACATGGGCTAAAAAATAAATAATGAAACAAACCATAGTATTTGCTTTGAAATATGGACTACATTAGATCATGGGGATTCAACCCACTTGCTGGGAGGACAAGCTTCAACCAATAAAATGATATTAAGACTGAAAAAGGGATTTATTTTGGAGACACAAGTACAACACCAGAGACTTGGCACTGTAGGCATAAAATTCAACAAACAAACAACTAAACTCGCTACAGAAAAGCCATTCACGATCAGGCAGAAAAAATCCAAAAACAAGAGTCTAAAATATAAAATATAACCTAACCTACAAATGCCTAAGTTAAGTCCAATAAAAAAAATAATACTATTCTAAAAAGGATTTAAAAATTTTAACTTCTGCTCATGCACGACCATTCACGAGAATATATGCCTCACCTCGACACACATTGCTCCATGTTCTTGTATATCATGACACTGACTAGCAACAAAGAAGGGATATTTTGATATTTTCACTGATAGGTTTCCTTGATATCATAGCAGTTACGACACATTACACACTGTTTCTTCTGTTTGTTTATCCTTGGTAATTACGCATTAAAATGCTCACAGGGGAGTTAACCCTAGAATAAGAAGTAAAACAACTCTCGGATTTTTTTTCCTTATTTTCAAACTTCAGGATTTCCTAATAAGTAGGATATTTTCTGTCCTTCTTCTCCTAATTTCAAAAAAATATTGAATATCAGTAAAGCAGGGCTGTGTTGATTTTTTCACTGGCTAATAATTTTAGATAGCCACAAAAGTTGGAATTTAAGAACATATACACGGAAAGGAAAATAATGGATAGCCATGAAAGCACAAAGCAGCAAACACCACCACAAAAGGCAAATACAATAAATCAACGTCCAATGTTGACCCAGCATTCAATAACATAACAAAGAAAATCAAGGAGTGCCTTGATGGTAAAATGAATAGTGGTGTGCATTCAGATTTATTTGGAAGTTATTTATGTCTCTATATTAGGGAATAGATACTAAGATCAGATGCTCCCTCCTCATATGACCTGTCACACTTCCCTCTTGGCTTAAAGTTTAAGAAAGGAATTCTTTTGACAGATCATCATCACAATATCATATTCAAAACCGCATCCACCTTTAACAACATGCTTTGGGACAAATTTGAAAATATGCCCATAACATTCCGCAATATTCTACTACGGACTCAAAAAGGACATTTTTGAAATCTAAACATTTGACCTTTTCGATTGAAGGGTTGTAACATTTTTACAAGGCATCCAAAAATACAAAGTCAAGCACATCAAATTATATGTGATCTTTAGCAATATTGAACTACTATTTTCTACAATATGTACAGTCGATTCTTAATATTTTTAACTTTTACATGAAATTAATAGTTTACAGAAAGGATTTTATAAACCATCATGAATACAGAAGAAAGCCTACACCCTTGAGATAAGTAGCTTCTAAACTAAGTATCTAATTGCCAACCAAAAATACATTATAAACCAAATCAATTCGCTTCCCCAAGAAAAATAGACAATGGGTTTTAGCGGGTAACTTTTTTGCATCATGCATCAACTGCCAATTGGTAAAAGTTTTGAGTAAAATTTTCAATTAAGAGGACCAGTTCTTTAACTTTAAAATATATCACAGAAATTCACAATTTGTTTCAAATGTTTACAGCCACCCAACCTCAATATTTAACATGCTGATAGATCAAACAATCAGTAACAGCCATGAAACACGAAGACACAAAAAACAGAAGCCTAACAGCAAATCAATGAGATCAAAAGCCCAGGACCCACGTCATCTCAATCTAAAAACCAGAAAGGAAAATGCAATTCAGTAAATAGTAAAGAATGAAAAAGGAAAACCTGTATCCAAATCTGAGATTGAACATTTTCCCGTGATCCAGTAGTGACCATTCCTCCAGCAACAAGAGAAGGTACCTTACCATGCATTGCAGGAATAGTCGATGGTGTAGCAGCACCCCAGTAATCAATGCCGATATTTAAGTTAGTGGTGTGAGGAACACCACCCACAGCCCCAGCTGCTGCCACTGGCATGATAGAAAGAGTTTGATTCACCATTGAATTAGGAGTATTTGGTCCTCCATTCTGGGAACCATGACCAGCATTTCCATTCTGAGATGTTTCAGCTGTAGAAGAGTTATAAAAGTAAGGTTTGATTACGAACAAGATAGCCGACAGCAATAGAAGTACAAATTCCTAGAACCCCACCTGGATCTTGAAGGCCTCCGGACTTCATTTGTGAGTCCTGTACATAACAGATCAAAGATAAGAACTCCAGAAGAGTTCAAATAGGAAGTTTAATTACTTAGGCCTCGTTTGGGAGGGATTAAAATCCAATTAAAATTGAAAATATGGCCGTTATTGGGTCCCACTCGTCTAATAAAAGTCAACAATAACGGCTATATTTTCGATTTTAATCCCTCCCATACAAGGCCTTAATAAATATTATTTTTTGTGATAGTCTGATAAAGTACTAACATTTTTTTTATTATGGGGAATGGACACCTTTATAGTTGACACTTGACAGTTTTCCAGATAAGAGATCTTAATCCGTTAAGCTTAAACTCCTGTGGCAATAAAAACGTTTCTCTTTTTATTGTTAACAACACATTCTGTTAACATCATAGTGTTGCCTTATTCTAGCTTGGATTGTTCTAAATGTGCTATATTTCAGTGAATAAGAAACTACAGCCTGCGTTGCTAATAACTAAGGATCAGTATGATAGGCAGCAAGATCCGTGGGTAATATGAAAATGCATATTAGCCAGACAACTAGATGTCGGAGCACCCCAAGGCCAGAACCCAATATAAAGAATACCCAATGGATATGGATATCATCTCCCCAAAGATTTTTATACCAAACATATAAAAAGACTTTCCAACTGTTGTCTCAGAAGAACCATTGTTTATTCGTTTCTAGATCAATGGCCAGAATAGTGTAATTCAATTACAGGATTCTCAACCTCTGTAATCCAACAAATCGCGAAAATTCATCCTGACTTGTGACTAGACAGAGCCACATAGACAAAATGGCCATCAAACCAAATTAATTTACATTAGAATCTAGCAACACATTCTGTAAACTTACATCTTGAGAATTTGCATCACTTCCTTCACTTGACCCTTCACTTGCACTTTCACCACTGCAAATAGAATTGGCAAAAGTTTCCTTAACAATTGACAGGAAGAGGAAACAAATTAAACACACAAGTACTATATAGTCTTCATCTTCCTGACAGTTTTGAACAATAGATTTAAATAGATTGTAGTTACCAACTTAATATTACTTCTTAAAACTAAGCAAACATAGAGACATCAGGAGAAAATCAAGATAAACAATGGAAAAGGGAGAATTGTTAAACATCATTCTCCAGGGAAACCCAACACTGAAGTAACAAAGATGTTCCTAAGAGCTCTAAATGCCCACTTCAACAAAATAGGATGCAGCAATGTTCTATTAAACCTTTCTCCAGTATCTTGCCAAAAGTAAGAACCTAGCACAAACTATTATAAGTGTACATTCATATCCTACTACAACGATGAAATTATTTGTCTCCTTCCAATTAGTTGTTCCGTACTTTCATCATACCTCTTAGAATGCACACCATCTGCAGATGCACCAGATGTTTTACCAGGTTCAGTATCCTTCCCAGTAATCATATTCAAACTGGCTAATCTTCCCTTAGATACTTTGATGGGCAGTTTTCCCTTCCCCTCAGATGACTTACCATCCAGTTCCACGTTGCCGGGAGTGTTAGGCTATAAGTCGAATTGAAAATCATTTTACCGAGAGGTCATGGGAAAATAATGTCAGCAATGGAAATTATAATTGGAAAAAGAAAAAACAATGGAGAAGAAAGATAGGGAATATAACAAGTGGTACAGTAACTCACAGAGGCTTCAGCAATACCATTTGGAGATGGCATAGCAAAAGGACTGAAATGGTATGATCCCTAATCAAGTTTTAAATACGACATATAAATGACAGGGAATTCAATAAATGATTATGATCTAGCTATGTACTAACAAAGAAAGCAACAACATACCGGAGGTATAGTTGGATGTGCATATATGCCCCCAGGGGGATACATTGCAACGTATGGATGGGGTGGAGTGCTGAAGGGTGGCATAAATTGCTACAATTAATAATTTCAAACAAAAATTATGATCTTAAAAATAATCATACGTATGGATGGGGTGAAGTGCTGAAGGGTGGCATAAATTGCTACAATTAATAATTTCAAACAAAAATTATGATCTTAAAAATAATCATTAAATTGTCAAGGGTAAATAGCAACATCAATTGACATGAAGATCATAACTTAATTGCGCACATAATCGTGTCTTAGAACTTTCTCAGGCAGTTAGACACGTTGAAACATAACTATCCAAAGATATTGTTGGGAAACTAGTTTTGTATGAATGCACCTCGCAAACTAGTGGGATCCTACATCATGCCTAATTATTGTCTTTTTACTATTCCTACCCAGTAGAAATAGCAAGCTTTATATAAGAGCTCGTTAACCATGCTTTCTAGGAAATGTCCAGTAAGGAGAGTGTAAAAACATTTTAACATAAAAGGCGAATACATTCAGACAAATAACAAGATGGTTTGCCAACTTCTGTGTCTTTCTCCTTAAGGAGAGGGAGTAGTCCAGGGTGTGTAATGCACCAAAGGAGAAGATCAATCCGGAGGGAATCCAGAAGCATGCCTACGAAGTAGTTATATTCCATTGAAGGTAGTTTGCATTTCATATGATTGAGCATGATGAGTTTCATATATGATTGTACAACACAAACATGTTTTATATATGCTCAATCATAACATGCAGATTCAGTATTCAAAAAAATAGAGAAATAGTAAAGCCTCGAAGAATGTCAGCTAAGTCAATGTGAAGGAATGTGCTTTCTTAGATTAAGCAATCAATATTTACAGACCCATGAAGCTTATCCCACGCATAATTAAGCCATGCCAAGCTGTTTCAACTTTTAATTTGGTCCTATCATGGACCGTATCTGTTTGTTAACCATTTCAAGTTACTTGTTAGTACAAGTATACATAAATTTTTAAAACAACATAAGGAAGCAAATAAAGGTTAGATCTTGATCCAATTCCGCTCCATAAATAAAACTTTTGACGCATTAGGACTGTTATGGATATTGGATGAATTTACTGATCCAGGACCTGGATTAGAACTCCTTTTTCGGTGCTATGATAGTGCTTATAAAAGCCTTCCATTTGCTAATTTTCATTGATATAATAACACGATAATACTTGAGACTAAACAAAAATGCAAAAAGGTACCTGAACTCCCCACATATATGGGTGTGGTTGCGGACTTGATGCCAAAAACCCATGTGGAGGCATAGGAGAATACCCCTGCACAACCACAACCAACATCCTATAACTACCAATACTAAAATGTTGACAAATGTGCATAAAGGCCAAGCGGGTATCTTCTAGAAATCTTTTAACCTGAAAGGCAGCCCATTCAGCAGTAACCATACCAGAAGTTGCTGAATTCTGCTCCTAAAAATCTCAAAAAATAAAAATAAAAAAATCATTTCCAGCTAGCTAACACAAACATGCATCAAAATCACGAATCTGCACACAGTGTTACCTGCGAGGCAGAAATTTTTGACTCCTTTGTTTCTGTGCCCTCCTTAGAAGATTTATCCATCTCAGAACTACTCATCGTTTAGACTACACCACTTCCTCCAATATCACTCAAACCATCATGTTATACACATGAATGTGTCTGTTCAAAACAAAAACATCCTGCTACAGAAGGAAGTTAAGTGCAAACGATTAAACTCTTTGCCCAGCACATGAAAACTTTAAGATCCATTTATGTATTAACATAGGATCTAAAAACATAAACTTTGATAAAATATTGAAAATTTGTCAACTGCTGAGAAAGAACGTAAACTCAATCAACAATATTCAACGATACTTTTACTCTATATCCAAGAATTTACACATAACACAGGGAAATGTACGTGAGACATAAGTTTATCCAGAAACACAAAAGAAATATAAGAGTTTTTGTTCAAATTAAATTAAAATAACTTGAATAAAGATGACAAAGATTTAAACTGCTTGATTTCAAAGAAAAAAATTAATGCAAAAGCAGGAGTAACTCGGTAAATCTGAACTAGCGAGTCAACTCAATTACAAAACACTTAAAACCCACCGTTTTCTTTTAACTATCAAAAAACACCCAAATAAGCTTTTAACTATAACATATACATTAATTAGGGAGGTGGTAAGCAAGAAAAGAAATTAACATTATTCAACTATATTCAAAGATAAAAATCAAATATAATATAAGTAAAATCGACATCACTATATTTCCACGAAACATAAACTAAGGCAAGAAAAAGTACACCTAATACCCACGCATTTATGCACAGACGCAGGAAAAATATATATACATGTGACCTAATTTTATCCATAGAACAATCAAAAGCCTAAGAAATTTCAAGAAAATTAACATCAATAAAAATCATAAAGATTTAAACTTCATAAACGTAACTAAAAAGATTACCGTAGCCGTAACTCGGTAAATATGAACCAGTGAGTCAACTCAGTAACCCAACAGCCAAATAAAATTATAATTATAATGAATATATGTATCAAAAAGGGAGATGGTAAGTAAGAAAAACACTGAATCTCATTCGATTTGGAGAGAGAAAATTAGAGCTTCGTTCGTGAGAGATCGTCGACACGGTGGAGTCGCTGCGTCGACGATTTTCAGGCTGAGAGAGAGAGAGAGAGAGGGAGTCCAGCGTGGATTTGGAGGGGTTGATGATTGGATAATTGGATGGAGTCGTGGACTGTTATTGACGGCTGAGATTTGGGTTAGGTGTCAATCGCCTTTGACGTGTCGTAGTTGCATACTGTATAATGGTTCTCGGGTCGGGTCGAGAGGACAAAAATGAATGAAATTTGCACTCAAATAATAGGGAAAATTACACGTTGTGTCCCTAATCTTTCCAAAATGTGCAAATGAGTCTTGAACCATTTTTGCTGCATTGCTATCACGGGCGTTTGGGAAAATATGCAATCGAAGGACTTTTGGATAAGTGGGTCAGTCAGTTCAGTGCATGACATGGAAACAACCATTTTTAATAGGACAAATTTGGTATTTTCAAATTTTCTCACTTTTCACTACGTATTTTTGCCATTTTTTTTTTCTTTTTGACAACCTTATCTTAGGACTATATATATATATATAATTNAAAAAACCCGCTCGGTTCGGTTCGGTTCGGTTCGGTTCGGACATTTTGCCCAGCCCTAATTGCTATCACGGGCGTTTGGGAAAATATGCAATCGAAGGACTTTTGGATAAGTGGGTCAGTCAGTTCAGTGCATGACATGGAAACAACCATTTTTAATAGGACAAATTTGGTATTTTCAAATTTTCTCACTTTTCACTACGTATTTTTGCCATTTTTTTTTTCTTTTTGACAACCTTATCTTAGGACTATATATATATATATAATTTGGTACAATCAGGAATTATTTTCTTTTTTTATTCATTTTGTTTATCACTTCCATAGTGTTAAGTTTTTTTGTCAACGTTATACCGTTATTATTTTTTATTTTTTTTCATTTTTTAAACTTATTTTGTTTTTTCATTTGGCAAAATCACAAGAGGATTCTATCTTTTTTATAATTCAATATTGTTAATGATTGAAATTGACGTTATAATTATAAATTAATTTAGGAGAAAATTTGTAGAATAACGTTGTTTAATTGCTGGAATATTGTAAAGAAAAAGGGAAATTTCCATTGAGTGAGGTAATGTGGTATAATACGGAGAAAATGCTTAGCTCCGTCTTTTGTGGAGGCTTTTACCTCCTTATGTAGGCCCCGCAATAGGAACTTGTCGACCTATGTCTTCTCTTATAGTGCTTGTCTTTAAAGTGTGTCGCGCACTATTTGATATCATGAATATGGTTAAGCACATCGATAGAAACAAGTTACAGAGATATATATAAACCAATCATAAAATTGTATTAAATGTTATAACGTAACTACTGAAGAAAGGGATGTGATTGTTAATGATGTAGAAACTCGTGATGTTTGGGGGAAACCTAAAGTGAGATGTGGAAGGTGACGAGGTTAGAGCATTTTCAATGCATTCTTCAGATTGCAATCTACACGGTAGGTACTTGCGGTCTACACAACATTAATGTATAATGAATAGATGTCAAGCTTAAAATTAGACTTAATGTTGTATCTATCTACAATCAAATATTACTTCCTACATATCTTTTGTCTATGCTAAAATAGAAATAAAATGAAGTTCAACCCTACAACGTGTGATCAAGCTTAATTGGACCACTTGTCAAGTTCAAAATTTTATGAAATTTTTGCAATATTTTCTAAACTCATTCAAATACAACATAATAAAATTTTAGAATTTTCTAACATCATTTAGTTATGTAATTGAACACTCAATCACAAGAAAAATGCATAACTTATCCTATCAACCTCCAAATTACTTGATTCCAAAGCCAACCAATAAATGACTCAAAGAACTTTCAAACCCATTAATCTCACCCAAATATTTGCAAAATCCATTTTGGAGTGACATTTTGAAAATCGAACAAAAAGCTGAAAGTTTTACTTTACGTATTTACATGTCTAGTAGAACCACATATCCAATCACATTTTCATGCCAAAATTTATGCTAAAACGCCATAATAACATGATTTAATAAACATTAATTTATAGAGTTATATGAAAATCCAATTTCATGCACAAATGAAGTACAACATCAAAATGCAAACAATCTTCTAAATCCATTGTCTTAATCATAACTTTAAAACACATTAACATAAATCCTAAATATGGAAACCTTGAATTTTGATTTGATTTTCATATCGTAGCTTTCTCCACAGTCCATGCAATATCCATCCATCCATGATACATTTTCAATCTAAAAATATTCATAAAGTAGGAGTGAGCATAAATCCCCATAGAATTTCATCGGTGCAATCCCCTATAACTTCACGTAGTTGGATTACCGGTGAAATCTTTTATTCTGAAGAATTATTAGCTTGCAATTATATTTATATACATAAACATTCATAGAAAAAATCAACTTGCACTACCTACATTAATCAATGAGGGTTATTTCTTTGTCCAATGTTATCTTCAGCACTACTTAGACCAACAACTTTTGATGTTGTCGAGTTGCCCATAAATAGTTGTCATCCATTGATAGGAGTGTAAGATGAAAACATCTCTTTCTCAGCACAAACGTGACGAGTAGTGTCAGTGTCTACGAACCATTCTCTCAGATTGTCCACCATGTTTGCTTCAAATAAAACGATTGAGAACATTAGTTCAGACACACCGTTAGACAATTTGTCTTTCTTGGTCAAGTGTACTTGGCCTTTTTTGTTTTGCTTTTTTTGTCGACATTCCTTTACGATGTGACCGGCTTACCGCAATTATAGCATTCTCTTTTGAATTTTTTGGCATTGTTCTTTTGTTTGCCATTATCAGAGTGCTTCCTTTTTTTTGCTAGTATTTGGCTTCACCAAATTGACTTTAGTCTCCATTTGCAGCTTTCCAGATTTTTTCTTTGAATTTCAATTATCTTCCTCAAATTTTAATCTTACAGTCAGATCTTCAAGTTCCATTTCCTTGCGTTTGTGTTTCAGACACTTTTTGAAATATTTCCACATTAGTGGTAATTTTTCGATAATTGCAGCAACCTAAAATGATTCACTGAGCTTCATACCTTCTGCATGTATCTCATGTAAGATGATTTGTAGCTCTTGGATTTGACTCATCACTGTTTTAACATTCATTGTCACGTATATATTCCTTAAATTCTAAATTAATTAACATTCACGTTAATTCATATATTATATTTGCCATCTATTTCCATTTATGCATTTAGTTGTAATTCTAATATTCACATTCAAGTATGCATTTCACTATTATGTGCATGTATAATAATTAACATTTATTTTTAGGGCTTGCATTTCTCTTATATTTAGATCAAAAGGGTAAATAGAGGGTCAAATATTATTTTTACAGTACTTATAAAACATATCAGAATAACGTGCAATGCACGTTCAATTCTAATTAGTCTAACAAAATTTTAGAATATAAATTACCACATAAATAAACAATTATCGTCTTAAGATTGTTGGTGAAATATTGATTTTATTGTGCAATAATTTATATTCAAAATAATTTTTTTTACAGCGAATAAACAATTGGGCAAAATTCCGACTTACAAAATAAAATAGAATGAACAACGATGGGTGCGTGTGAGCTTTGGCTCAATTTATTAGCATTTAGGTCATCTCGCATTCAAAGATTACTGGTACACCTTGGAGCTCAAATCCAAGTCCCAAACTTCAGCAATATAAAATAGTTTTTAATCTTTTAGTTTTTCTATGTGGGATTGGAATTTTTCCAAATTTCCACTAATTTTTATTCTCAATTTATTTCAACTTCAAATGGGTCATCTTTTATCCTTAATTTCTTATTCACCATAAATTAATTTTGAGAAAATAAATACATTATATTAATCTACTCTTGGAGTAGAATATGCTTTACCAAATAAATCTTTTGTCCAATTAACGGAGACCCACTAAAATAATTGGTCAACGGTTGGTCAAACTGACTAATGAAACCAATTTTTCCAATAGTTGGGATGTATACAAG